TGAGATCAAGAGTCACATGCTCTACCGACTGAGCCAGCCAGGTGACCCATATCACTCGTTTTTGTTTTTTTTTTAAGATTTTATTTTCAGGTAATCGCTACACCAAACGTGGGACTTGAAACCATAACCCCGAGATCAAGGGTCACATGCTCCACTGATTGAGCCAGTCAGGTACCCCATCACTCATTTTTAAACTTTTTTTTTTGTAACGTTTATTCATTTTTGAGAGACAGAGAGAGACACAGTGCGAGTGGAGGAGGAGCAGAGAAAGAGGGGGACACAGAATCTGAAGCAGGTTCCAGGCTCCGAGCTGTCGGCAGAGTCCACCGTGGGGCTCGAACTCACGGACCAGACCGCGAGATTATGACCTGAGCCAAGTCAGATGTTTAACTGACTGAGCGACCCAGGCGCCCCTCACTCATTTTTAAATTAGCAATTCATAAGGGCAGTGAATTTTATTCAAACATTCCTGTATTGAGGAGTATTCAAGTTGTTCCAGATTTGTTACCACAAATAATATTGGAGCTAGGTGTTATTTTATATACGTATGTACATGTACACATATATCCCATGTTTTTATTTTTATTGGATAAATAACCAGGAGCTGGTTTGATGGGCCAAAGGGGCATGTGAAATTTAATTTTGAGGTTTTGCTAAATCACATCCCCAAGAGCCTATAATGGCAATAGATGTTTTCAATACATACACACAGGGGCAGAAATTGGAGATGTTGAAAACTGTTTAAAAAAATTTTTTTTTAATGTTTGTTTATTTTTGAGAGAAACAGAGACAGAATGGGAGTGGGTTAGGGGCAGAGAGAGAGGGAGACACAGAATCCTAAGCAGGCTGCAGGCTCTGAGCTGTCAGCACAGAGCCCAACGCGGGGCTTGAACCCCTGAGCTGAGAGATGATGACCTGAGCTATGAGATCATGATATGAGCCACAGTTGGTCACTCGGTCACTCAACCGACTGAGCCACCCAGGCGCCCCATTGAAAACTGTTTTAAAAAGGAATGCATGGGGCACTTAGGTGGTGAGTCCGTTAAGCACTGACTTTGGCTCAGGTCATATTTCGGTTCATGAGTTCGAGCCCCTTGTCAGGCTCCACTCTGATGGCACCAAGCTTGCTTGGATTCTCGATCTTTCCTCTCTTTCTCCCTTCCCCTACTCACGCTTTCTCGCTTTCAAAATAAACTTAAAAAAAAATTTTTTTTTAATGCAAAATAGGGGCTCCTGGCTGGTTCAGTTGGAAGAGCATGTGACTCTCAATCTCAGGGTCTTGAGTTTGAGCCCTAAAATGGGTGTAGAGATTACTAAAAATAAACTTTTTTAATGTTTATTTTGGGGAAGGGGGAGAGAGGGCACAAGCAGCGTGTGCATCCACAAGCGGGGGAGGCTCAGAGAAAGAGGGAGATAGAGAATCTTAAGTGGGTCTGTACTGACAGCAGAGAGCCCTATGTGGGGCTCGAACTCATGAACCATGAGATCAAGACTCGAGCCAAAGTTGGACGCTTAACTGACTGAGCCACCCAGGTGCCCCTAAATATAAATAACTTTAAAAAATAAATAAACATTAAAAATTTTTAAAACATGCAAAACTTATTAAGATGTAAATATTAAATGTGTGCAATTTTGCCTATCAACTGTACTTCAGTAAAGCTAAAAAATAATACATCTGTATGCTCACACTTATCCATAAATAAATACAAAGTATGGGGCACCTGGGTGGCTCAGTCGATTGAGCATCTGACTTCGGCTCAGGTCATGATCTCGTGGTCTGTGAGTTCAAGCCCCATGTCGGGTCTGTGCTGACAGCTCGGAGCCCAGAGCCTGCTTCAGATTCTGTGTCTCCCTCTCTCTCTGACCCTCCCCTACTCATGCTCTGTCTCTCTCTCTCTC